AATGCTAGAAAAAGCTCTGATCTATATAACGTATTAGCATAATCGTCTAAAATATAACACTAATGTGTAACAATAGTTCCATGATATACTGCGGTAGCTATTTTTAACACAGTGTCAACGCACCCGACAATGTGTATATTTACACGAACCATTTCAATTTTCAATTCACTTTCGAATCCCCATTTTAAAACGATTGGACCTGGACTGGACTTTTTATTCAATATAGATTATAAATAATACTTGTTGAAAGTCAATCTTTTCACTTACCACTGGTTCACAAAAAAAAAAACGTCTGTCCCGGGAAAAACCAGCAAGAAACACAGCGGGACTGTTTAAAAAAAGAGCTTACAATCATGCGTGTTACAATTAAGGGGGAATATAACCTCAAATGGCTTAGCAAGATCCTCCGTTATACCGAAAATATTGCAGCATTAATTTTGAAATAAATATTAGTAAAGTGAGGATTAATGTTAAGTACTATGTTAGACGAAACATGATTCCGTAAAATTTTCTCGATAGAAAAAAAATCCAAAGTTACCTCCAAACTGAACAATAAACCGCTGTTATTCATAAAATACTTTAAATAAGATCATGAAACTTTGCATACTAACTGAACTAACTATAAAACTAAGGGCTAAGCTAAGGGCTTATGTTTTTTATTTTATTTTAAATTACCGTTATTTTCACTGTTAAAAGAAATTACCCAAACTATCGGCGTCCTGAAGCTTGTTTCCTAATAATAAGTATATTATATAAGTATATTATGAATAACAGCGGTTTATTGGGGGATCCAACCCGAGTTACTCCCTTCATAATTTTCGGCAAGCGCTTAACACAGAAGTAATATAAAATTGTTTATCGTCTTCTAATTTTGAAAGAGCTTTGGATTCAATCTCTTGTAATTGGCTACTGGCCTCTAGCCGGAACTCGCACTCGCTAATTTAATTACAATACTCGTAACACTGTATATAGCTATACTTGCTATAATTTTTCAAACTTCTATTCACCGTATAAAATAACAGCAACGTGATAATTAAATCTTTAAACAATTGTATTGATTGTATGATACCATTGATTCATTTTATGTTTATTCGGATTCAAAAATAAAAATAAAATAAAAAAGCTTCTAAGGTTTCATTAAAACTCTATTTTTATATTGAACGATATTTGAATCCAAATAAAAAATATATTTTTCGCATAAGGAAAAAAGAAATAAACATTTTTTATGTCAATAAATCGATTAACATAAAAAATTGATTTACTAGCAAAATTCTCGTTTCCGTCTACCTTAACGTTTCATTTTGAAACTTGACGGTTCAAACTATAAAACTATTTATTTATGTAGGTATTTTAAGATCTATTTTCGATTTCTTCTGAGTTAACTAGGAAGATAAATGTTCATTGTATCAAAAATAAAATTACGAACCATTACTATCACAAACAACAACAAACAAAGATGGTTAACGCTCGCTGTAAATATAACAGAACGAGAGTAACCCGGGTTCGATCCCCGCCGGCACCAATGAAATTGTTAATTGCAATTTTAAGTGCTGATTTACCACGTGCTCGGCGGTGAAGGAAAACATCGTGAGGAAACCTGCATGTCTGAGGAATAAGAAAAAAAATATTTCGAAGACACGCATTGGGGCAGCGCGGCGGACACTTCCTTGCCCTAAAACCCTCTCAGAAATGAGGGGAGTCCTGTGCCCAGCAGTGGGACGTATATAGGCTGTAACTTTACTATCACAAACTCTCTTAAGTCCACTGCTGAACAGAGGCCTAACCATAGATTGCCTCATTGGGATTGACAACCACACTTTTTTATTGTATTCAGATGCCATTAGAGCAGCAGCACCGTCCCATGCTGCTGCCCATCTTCTGATTTAGTTTCCCTCTATAGCTTTTTACGATACCCGCGTATGATATGAGTAATGAATATTCTTACACCACTACAACACGGTTGGTTATACCTAAGTAATCGATCTCAGATCGACAAGCCTAATATTCACTACACTTGACACTTACTTGTCGTTATTTTGTCTTTTGTTGTCGTTTCACCGTTTCGTTTCCTAGATAACCATTTAATTAACCATAGCTTTTCTTTAAGGATTTTATACTGACCCTGCTTTTTTATTGTCACTCGCTTCGTTATGATTAGATTTTTTTTTTAATAGGATAGGGTGCCAAACGAGCACACAGTCCACCTGATGGTGAGTGGTTGCTGTGGCCCATAGACATCTACATCTATCCTCGATTACGAATCAAAATGCAGATGCGATGTCACCCGTGAGGACTAAGATGGAATGCCTCGTTCCAGTAAAAAGGGTCTCCGGTTCTCTACACTCACCATACGAAATACAGCAGCATTAAGCTACTAATTCACGCTGGTATTCTGTGAGAGCGTGGTCCTTCCGCGGTCGAGCCGACCCATTAGTGCTACAACTATACTACTAATATAACTGCAGCATGGCTCTACCACGTATAGATATTGACATCCTGGGTCATCGTTTTAATTGTATTACACTTATAGTATATTTATCATAATAATTATGTATTTAAGTTACTTTAGTAAAAAATCGACTGTTACAAGTTTATGTAATACATAACCTAACATTTACTTATTCTACGATAAGTAAGCTCCTAGATAGACAAATCTTACCAGATTTTCAGCTATAAATTGTTTATATGTAAGCTTTTAAATGATCCTAATCCTAATGATAATTTAATCGTGTTAATATCTGGGCTCAACAATATATGGAAACATCTCCTTCTCCTTTGGCCTCCGGTTGTCTACACTCACCATATGAAACACAGCAGCATTACGTTGTTATTTCAAGCTGGTATTCTGTGAGAGTGTGGACGTAACCCGGTCGAGCCGACCCATTCGTGCTACAACCTTAATATAGCTGCAGCAATTCTCTATGTTGAAATTATTTAAAAGTGGAAAAGTATACTTTTCTACTGAAACCAATCAACGGTCACCACTTTGAAAGCTACGACACAGACCACAGAGTAGTTTATTGTTTGAACAGATGAACTAGATAAGACACGCTTTAGATTTTAACATTCAAAAATAAATCCCATTTCGCCAAATCGTTAAAGATTGATGTTAAATACACAATTATAATAATAATAATCTTATCTATGCTCGTCAACTTAAGAACCCTTTCCGAGGCTGAAACATACCGATACCTGGGTATGTCACAGAACATCGGTATCGATGAGGCTGGTATGAAACAGTCAGTTTGCGACATGTTTTATGCACGCTTGACCAAAATGCTTAACAGCCTTTTGTCCGGTGTGAATAAGGCACATGCATATAACGGCTGGGTCATGCCTGTCCTCATGTATACCTTTGGCATACTCAGGTGGACTCAGACTGAACTTAACGCCCTGGATAGAAAAGTCCAGACTACCATGACGTCCCATAGGATGCATCATCCGAGATCGTCGGTAATGAGGCTGTACTTGCCGCGAAAACATGGTGGGCGTGGCTTCCTGAGCGCGCTCACCATGCATAATCGCGAAGTGTGCAGCCTCCGTGATTACTTCCTGGCGAGATCGGATGATCCATTCTATAAGGACGTCATTTCTCGTGATAAAGGACTTACCACTCTATCCTTAGCCAACGAGCAATGGCAAGACCCGGCAGTGCAGAGCATTTCCGACCGGGAGACCGTATGGAAGGAGAAGGAGCTCCACGGGAGGTTCTACAAGGCTCTACATGAGCCTTTCGTAGACGCAGTAGTCTTCCTCCACTGGCTCCGCTTTGGTGACCTCTTCGGGGGAAACCGAGGGTTTTGTCTGTGCACTACTAGATCAGGTTATTAAGACCAACAACTATCGGAGATACATCCTAAGGGATGGCACCGTCGACATTTGTCGAGCTTGTCGCCATCCCAGTGAGTCACTTAGGCATGTCATCTCCGGTTGTTCGGCACTTTCTAACTCTGATTACTTGCACAGACACAACCTAGTAGCCAGAATTCTTCACCAGGAGCTTGCTCTGAAATACGGTCTCGTGGATCGGAAATTGCCGTATTACAAGTACTTGCCGGAAGCCGTGCTCGAAAATGATCGCGCCAGGCTCTATTGGGACCGGGCCATCATCACAGACAGGATGTTTCTTTCCCTTTCCCCCTAACCCTCGGCCGTTTGGTCTCCCCTGCCGAGGGCCTCCATATACCTTTGTTTTTCCATTCTACGTTTTGAAATATGTCTTCAAGGCTGCTATAAATAGTGTGGGTGAAGAGGGTCACCTTGCCTCACTCCTTTCCCAATTTCGAACTCTTCTCCGTGTCGTTCTAGTTTTATTTTGCTTGTACTCTTAGCATATACGTTCTTTAGCACAGTTATGTATTTTTCATTTATTTTGTTTTTTTCTCAAAGCCTTCCATATGCATGAGTGTGATATGCTGTCAAAAGCTTTAGCATAATCTACAAATGCTATGTATAACGGCATGTTGTATTCTTTGTATTTTTCTATTATTTGTTCCATAACGTGTATATGACCATTGTTGAGTAGCGTGGTTGGAAGCCTGCTTGCTCTATTGGTTGGTTTCTGTCTATGTCTGGGGCTATTATACTTAGGATTATCGATGAGAACAATTTATAGATTGAAGATAGTAAACTAATTCGTCTATAATTGTGGATGTCAAGTGGATTTCCTTTTTTATAGAGCAGTATTATGTTTGAGCTGCACCATTGTTTTGGTATTTGTTCTTGTTGTATGATTAAGTTGAATAGCTTCGTCAGGTAGCTTACTAGAATAGGTGACCCAAGTTTTAGAGCATCATTTGTGATTTTATCTGGCCCTGGGTTTTTTTCAGACTTAAGTCTTTTTATATGCCTTTCTATTTCCCTTTCAGTTATAGGAGTTAAAGTTGCTTCTTCCAGTTGGGATTCTCTTTTATGTTTACTTTCCAGTTGTTCATCCTTTTGGATTTCATCTTGAGATGTTCTTCTGTAAAGCTCTGAGTAGAAAGTTGTTGCGCGCTTTACTATGTCTTCTCTGTTTCTTGTTTCCTCTTTTCCATCTTGTAGACCTTGTATCCAAGTTTTGTGCGTTGCGTTGCCAGCTCTTTAAGGGCTCTCTTTGAACTTTTATATGTTACCATATTTCTCTCTATGATTATTCTTCTATGTCTTTCGTAGTCTTGTCTGATTGCTCTGTTTGTTTTCTTATATAGTTCTTTTAATTCGTGTCTCATTTCTTTAGATTTTTTTCTTTTAGATAGGAGTTCCGTACGTTTAGAAATCAGTTCTTGTGTTTGTTTGGTAATGATTTTAGGCTTTTCGTTACTGGTTTTAGATGCTTTATCCTGTTCTAGACTATTTATGATGGTTTTTTCCAGCTCGCTGCTCAGAGTTTGTACATTTTCTGTGTTCTTCATTGTCTCTTCTAGTGTTGTTGTATTTTCTTTAAGCTTTTCTAGATAAGTTTCTTTTTCTTTTGAAATCTTTAGCATATTATGTGGGGCTTTAAATGATTTTTATGATCCGATGGGAAGTTTATATTGTTTAAAACCTCAAAATTTGTGATTACTGTTGTTGAAATATGTGTTCATCAATGATAGTTTGTTTTCGTATGCGTATTAAATTAATCGTTCCCCTTGTGGATTTCGTTGACCATATCCGTACCGTCCCATTATCATATGTTCTTCATGTTTCGGGTAACCAATTTTTGCATTTAAGTCTCCAATCACTAGTAATATCTTATATCTGCTTGTTCTTGCGCTTTTTGTAAATCCATGTAGAAACTTTCAATTTCTTCCTCACTGGAGCTCTCAGTGGGGTAAACTTGAATAATAGACAGTGATACCTTGTTGAAGCTCATTTTTAACAAAGCAACTCTTTCTGATATGCCTACGAAGCTCACGATATTTTGTTTCAATGTTTTCTTTATTAAGAAGCCAACGCCATGGAGTTCCAATGTCTCACCAATGTAACAGAAAATATATTTGTTATGTTCTTCTATACTATACCCTAGTCGTTTAATTTCGGCGAGCCCTATGATCACAATAACGCATAACAATTGAGATTATCCCGCGATGCTGCGAGCGGCGACGTTAGCTTGCCAGCAGGGTTGTCAGATCGCACTATTAAAATATAAAATTTGTTTAATATGGATATCTTATGTACCATGTTTGAAATGGAGATTTCCTTGTATAATTGGATGATAATTCAAATGTAAAGTAAACTTTTCGATAGTTTAAACATTGCTTTTACATGGGGTTAGGAATTACACCCTCCACAGGTTCGCAAAAGTTTGAAAAACAAAATATTGAAAAATCGTGATTTTTATCACTACTAACAAGCGAGCGCCTTCGTTTAAATAAATGTGATAAATAATGGTGGAGCCACGTGTTTAAGGCTGCCGAAAATCTAGTTCCCCGGTCAAACCTCAAACCTATTACGCGAGATATTAACTAAAGTGGACTGTATTTGCGATTGCTTCTACGCTTACGTAAAAGCGACTACTATAGCATGCGGTACAATGCACTCGCTCTTCCCTAAACTAAAACTATTACTTGCCAAATCGATGAAAGGAATCCTGCCTGATGGGGAGAACACAGAATTGGAGCGGTTAAACAATTATTAAATATTAATCAGGCAGTAAATTAAGGAATGTTGACTCACCGGGGTTCTTCTATCCTTTAGAGCACTATAGCGGCGATTTCCGGAACACTCCGGAGAGAGGCGGTGCGCGACGATATCTCACACGAGGTGAGGCGGGTTCCTGGAGCTCGACTGCTTCCAGGCCAAAGCGGTTTCCACTAGTGAGGTGTTTCCAAACGAGCGCGCGGGAAGAGAGAGCGCGCGTCGGTCGCGCGTGTCTTATATATCCTCGGGTCCGATGATTACGCGATGTTCTAGAATCGTCTTCTTTCCCCTCCCACCCCATCACCCCGATGTGTCGATAGGAGGGTACGAATGATATCCTTTGGGAAAGGGAATAATGATTCGGCAAGTTCCTACCGTCAAAAATAAAAACGCGAATGGTTTTCCGCGCAACCATCTCCCCCCGCCCTTGAAGGATTTCCTTCAAAAAATAACTAAACAACTAGAGCTAAGATCAACTAACAAATAACTAACTAACGCTAAGATTACCTAAATTCAACTACAATTTTAATCTAGAAATCTAATTTAAATTATGGAAGAGGCAAGGGGCACAAACGGACAACAGGACGTAGGTAAGACCCAACCGTGGTCTTAACGCGAGCTATCCTAATTACTCCGTCGGAACCGGGAAAGACCTCCTCGACGATTCCTAACGGCCAGTGGAGAGGCGGCGTATTCTCCTTAGTGAGCACAACTACCGTTCCTACAGCTAAAGGCTCTGTCGCTGTGTTCCATTTTTGCCGAGACTGCAAAGTATGCAAGTATTCCATCCTCCATCGTTTCCAAAACGATTGCACTAACCGATCTAATAATTTGTGGCGTGCGGAAATGCTAAGTCTGTTCTCATCCATATCCGCGGCGGGCAGATACCTTAGAGGCGTTAAATTCAAAAAATGTGCTGGAGTTAGAGCCAGCGGTTCCGAGGGGTCACTAGATAACGTCCGACAAAGTGGGCGGCTATTCATTACGCATTCAATTTGAGCGAGCACCGTACTTAGCTCTTCGAAGGACAAAATTTGATCTCCTATTACTCGGTATAAGTGGCTCTTTAGACTTTTAATATTAGTCTCCCAATTGCCCCCAAAATGACTCGCGGCTGGGACGTTCAGAGACCACTCAATGCGGTTCTCGGCTAGAATGTGAGCGAACTCCGAATTATAATACTTGCTAGCTAAGAGCTCATGTAGTTCCGATAGAATACGTTTTGCACCGACGTAGTTCGTACCGTTATCCGAATATAATTTACTTACAGGGCCTCTGCGGGATAGAAATCTTTTAAATGCACCCATAAAGCCTGCTGTGCTTAGATCACCCACGAGTTCTATATGCACTGCTCGAGTAGTTAGACATACGAAAATGCAGACGTAAGCCTTTGTGGATCTTATACCGCGCCCGCGAGTGAGCGTGACCTTAAACGGACCAGCAAAATCAGACCCGGTGTGCGTGAAGGGCTTTACTGATTGTATCACTCTGCAAGATCTAAGTTCCGCCATTTCCGGAAATGACGGCTTGGGGCGTGCCCGAAAGCAAGCTATACATCTGTGCACCCGATTGCGTATTAAACTACGTGCAGAAAGAATCCAATAATTCTGACGCAAGATCGACATCAATAAATCGGGGCCAGCGTGCGAGTTCAATTCATGATGATAATCGACTAATAAGTTCATGATATGGTCTTTACGCGGTAAAACTATAGGGTGCCGTTGGTCGAAACTCAATTGCGAGTTGGACAAGCGTCCACCTACCCTTACAATCCCATCCTGTAAAAATGGCTTAAGGCGTTGAAAGGCGCGACTACAAGCTCTATTCGATTGTAATCTTGTAATTTCTTCGGAGAAGTGCGCACGTTGAAGTTCACGTAATACTAGCGACTCGGCATAGTTGTAATCGGATGCTAAGATATACGAACGTCGCGGTAAAAGCTTCGCGAATCGACAAACGTAAATTACGATACGCAATAATTTCGACCAAGAGGACAAGCGGTTCGCCAGAGCAATAATTGGAGAAACCTCGCTCGAAACGCTCGCCACTAGAGCGTGTCTCCTCTCTTCCGGCGGTTGTGACACTGACGAAGGTTCGAAATCGGTTATTGGCCATTGTGAGGGATCCAAGTGAACCCAAGAAGGTCCATGGAACCAAAGCGGGTGGTCCATTATTTGCATCGGGGTGAGTCCCCGGGATAGACAATCGGCAGGGTTTTCCTTACCGGACACGTGATAAAAGTTCCGCGTTTCTAACTCGTCTTGGATCTTGGCCACTCGGTTCGCGACAAACGTATCCCAACGGTGGGGTGAAGAATGAACCCAACATAAGGCGACGGTGGAGTCGGAAAAGGCAAATATCCTTTCTATGTGAACTCTATCCCTACATGCGCCGATAACTGTGGTAATAAGCTTGGTGAGTACTAATATTGCGCAAAGCTCTAAGCGCGCCAGAGAGACAACCTTACGGGGGGGAGACTCTCGACTTAGAACTAATGAGGCTAATCGAATTTCTACCATTATTCTGGACATGGAAATATACAACGCCCCCCGTAAGCCCTCTCGCTGGCGTCTGCAAATCCAACGACCGTTATGCTGCTATTTCTATCGACATTTATATGACGCGGTATTTTAATTTCTCTTAGTAAAGGAAGTTCCTCTCTAAAACGCTGCCACAATCGAACAATGCTGTCAGGCGGCGAGTCATCCCAATCACATTCAAATAACCAAAGTTGTTTAATCAAAAGCTTAGCGTACAATACCACAGGAGCTACGAAACCCATGACGTCCCATAATCTAGCAACGCATGACAGTATTGTGCGCTTTGTGCATTTCTCTACGGGCGGATTTACCTTAAGGCTAAACACGTCGGACTCTGGTGACCAACACAGACCGAGCACCTTGTGTGTATCGGAATCGTCGAATTCCTTTATCGCCGAAAGACGGTGTGATAGTGGGATTGTATCTAAAACCGTACGCGAATTACTAGTCCACTTCACAAGATCGAATTGACCCGATTTCATGAGCCTTATGACTTCGGCGGTGGTTAGGGTGGCCTCCTCCACGCTATCGACCGAATACACAAAATCATCCATATATAATCCGCTCTCAATTGCCCTCTTAGCTTTAGGATAAGAGGGACCTTCATCGTGAGCGAGCTGTCTCACCGTGCGTAACGCATGAAATGGGCTCGACTTTAAACCAAAACAAACGCGGTTAAATTCAAACACCATTAGAGGTTCCTTTGGGTTGAAGCGATATAAAATGCGTTGGAATCTACGGTCGCATTCACGGACCCCTATGCAAAGAAACATTTGGCGAATATCGGCGGATAGTGCTATACTAAACAAACGAAAATTGACTATTATATTAAATAAACTGCCCTGTAAATTTTGCCCACTATAGAGGATATCGTTAAGCGACAGGTGAGTGCTAGTTTTAGCACTAGCGTCGAGCACTACACGTAATTTAGATGTAAGTTTGTCCTCTCTAATGACTCCGTGGTGTGGTATAAAATACGACGGTGTGTCTTCGTAGTTATCTAATTTCGAAGCCACAAGCGATATGTAACCTTCTCTTATATATTCGTTAATGACGCCGTCGTAAGCTTCCTTTAACTGGGGCAAAGCGAGCATCCTACGCTCCAAGCTGTAGAAACGCTTTTCCGCCATTTGACGCGAATCGCCGAGAGATAAAACATCTCCTTTAAAGGGTAGCGCTACACTATATCTACCGTCGCGATCACGAACGGTCGTGCGGACGTAAATTTCCTCGCATAACCTGTCATCTGGACTAGCTATAGGTGGGACGTTCACCTCCTCCATCTCCCAAAATTTGCGGACTAACGACTCGAGCGGTTCGACAGC